TCTAAAACACTTGAGATATGCTCTGTGCACCCTTTTCCTGCCTGTCCTGATTTTAGATACACTCCTACCAATGACTGACCTACTGTATCTGGTCTTTTTAAACAAATAACAACATTTTAATCTAATTCCCAGGAAACAAATAGGGAAAACAATTTCACTAACATGAAATTGTTTATGACAGTTTGCCGGCAGCTCCGAGTAATGGTCTACCTGTAAAATACTCCTTATTAGGTTTCTTCCTCATAATAATAATCAGCTTTGAAAATAACATCGAGTTTGCTTATGTCTTTTCTTTCCTTAAAATATATTAAATGCTCAAGGCAGAATTCACTGTTTAAGCCAAGGTCACGCATAGACTCGTTGATTAAGGATTTTAATTTTATTTGTGTCTTTTTCCCAAGAGGGATTTGTGTTATGTGTGTTAAAGCCCTTTGGGTTCTAAGAGGCTGTGAATGTTCAGGAGTCTGTGGAGACCCTACCAGACAGCACAGCGCTAATAAGTGTTAGATACAATCCAGCCATTCCAGACTGTTGAGTAATAGTCAGTAACACTTATTATAGGGCCAGAGATTGCAAATGTATGTGTTGTCATTAAAATGATTGTAACGTAAAGAAAAGAGGAAAAAGTAGGGAAAAAAGGTGTTAGCATCAGCTTCTCGATTTATCCGGTCATACTCTGAAAAGCTTTTCTGGTTTCATTTGATTTGTAAAAGCTTTTCTTTCTGTCTACATGGTGAAAGACCTGTGTAGCTCTAGGCTGAGAGGGAAGATTGCTCAAGTTACCGATTGCCTCCTTCTTCCTTAATTCTGACTGATAAGCAGTTCTGATTGGAAATCTGCATCCAGAACATAACAGCCAGGAAAATACTCTGCCATAATTAACCGTGAATGGTTTGACTTGCTGTCCTTATGTACAGACATTAGCTCATTTTGTCAATCAAAGACTTTGTGAAGATGTCTGGTAAAGTCTTTACTGGATTCCCTCTCTGTTGAGTCAGTGTACATATATCCTACAGAGGATGTGAGATTTCTCCTGCAGGCAAATTATTGTCTGTAATTATTGTGTTGAGAGATGGATTTTAATTTAATTATATCAGGGTCTGCCAACAATTCTGCAGTATTTTCCCTCTGTAAAGCATTTTCTGCTTAGATATAGTTCTGCAGTGTAGATGGATCTCCTGCAAAGATGTAGTGTCAGGTTTCAGGGCTCTTCTCTTCAGCAAAACATAGCTGAATGCACCAGAGTCCAGTTCCACCTAGGCAAGTTGTAAAGATACAGCAAGTGTTTCAGAAGCTACTTGTGCTGAAGGAGTGCCTGAGTGGACAGCTGTAGATGATAAAGTTCTTTCTTCGTCTGGAGGAGTGTGGAGGGAGTGTTTGGTTTGCAACAGTACCCCTATAGGGCCAGAGAAGATTGAACACCATGTACAGCAGGGAAGACATGGTGTCTTATCATGCTGGAATCTGGTCATTTTGTTCTGTTATGTGGTTTAATTGTACAGCAGCTGCACTTGCTGTGAAGCTGAGAATAGTTCTTTTTAAAGCTATAATTTTAAGATAGGGTCAGTGTGTCATTTTTTTACTTGCATAATTTGTTTCACTTTCCTTCTATACAACCTAGAGGTGAGCACTGAGGACTGAGTGCCTGGGAGTGTCATTTAAATTCTGTTTTCATTCCATCTGCCCAGCTGGCTGATATTGTGCAGAGCACTGAGTTCAGCTCAGGTGATCTCTGCATGGCTTCTAACCATATCATGTCGTGTTGAGGCCAATAACTCGCCTGACGACCTCCGCCCCTGGGTTTGCACGGCCCAGTAAAGGCAGGTGTGTTAACCCCCTGCTCCACCTGCCTCCCTATCTGAGACTATTCCAGCAGACAGCCACCCAGCAAGCCTGTGCTCTCTGCGGAGCCATGAGAAATTGCTCTTGACAGCTGATTTGTTGGTTGTCAGAAGTCTTCCACGTGGTGCCGATAAGGGAGAAAGGACTGGGATAGAAAACTAAATGCATCTCATGCATATGATTTAAACCCCCCTCATACTGCAGAAGGCCAGGACTACAGTCACATATAAAGCTCTCTCCAGAAATCAGTCAAAGTGTCTGTGTGCAGTCCACACACATTGCAGTCAGGTTCTCATTGGGAAAATAAGCTACCACACAGCTAATCTGTATTTTTGTAAGTTTGCTGCTATAAATGCAAAGAGTTTCATATTCATTTTTCAGTCTTTTTGTGATTTGCTTGAAGGTACTTGTCACAAACAAATCAGCAGGAAAAATGGGCAGTGTTTTGTTAACCTACTGAATTTTTTGGGCTACAATCATATTGACTGACATCTTTCTTTTGCTTTTAAAAAAAACATGGAATTTATGATTATATGTTCATAGTTTGCCTTGAGGTTTTTATGTTTTCTTACTCTGCAGGCAACAAATACTGCTTATAGAACTAAAAAAGGTTCTTTAGTGTTGGAAGACATAGAGTTTTCTTGCATATGCTTTTGTGTGTGTCCATAAAAATGACAGCTAGGTTGCTAAATGCTTCTGACATCTCCTTTCCTACATGGGAGATTGTGATTGATATTTAGAGAAGAAAAACATACCAGTATGTGAAGCAAAAAAAACGAGGCGAATTCAAAACAATGACATCTTTTTTGATTAGCTGACACAGCAGGCGGGCTCGGCGGTGTTTAGCGTTATGAAAGCCGTTGATCTGAAAAAGGCCTGGGGCTGGCTGAGCCAGGGTTTATTCCAGAGGACAGGCTTGATCTGCCGGGCAGGGAGAGAGACAGCAGGCATCAAACAGCTTTTTAACTGGCCTGCATCCACCCCATCCTTTGAGCAGAGCGGCAGGAGGGGGCGCTGGTTGGAAGGGAGTTTGGCCTATGAATGGCGCTTTCAACACTCCTGACTGCCTGCTTTATTAGCCTCTGAGTGGCCCCAGGATGTCCTGATGAGGTCGTAGAGGAAGTGCTTCAGAGAATGGAGGTTACTGGATAATAAGCTCCAGATCCTGCCAGAGCCCCCTCCACCCCCCCCCTCCACCCTGAAAGGACTGTGCATATCTGCCACAGCCATTTGCACAGCTTTTTATAGCAATAATTATTACAGTAGCAACAGCCATACTTATTGGGACAGTAATGTTTGAGAGGGGCTGCATGAAGAAAGTTGTACTGAAAGGTCAGCTGTGAGCATGAGAACTTGCATCACACTTCCGTTCCTCTTTACCCCTGCAAAGTATTTAATTTACAGTTAACAACTCAGTTCTACTCAACAATTGTATGCTCTGTGCTTGGTCAGTGGCTTTTTAATGCATTTAGCTGCTGGTTAATAGATACAAACGACTTGGTTTGGAGGATCCCATGGCACTTTTCAAAAGAGACGGGGTGGTAACTCTGGGGTGGAACAGCCTTATCTCTCTAATGTTTCCCCTTAACTCTGTTGGCCAAACAATTTCTCACTTCTCCACCTGATGTACTGTGCAGTGGGACTGTAGGCACAAAATGTATTCTATATATATCTATTGACTTTTTTTTTAAAGTGTAGTACAAGGTAGTGTAGATCCCAGAACTTACCTCAGAACTGTGTCTCTGGGCTCCCCCTTCTGTATGTTCTTATTCCACACCCAGTGCCAGCCATGGTCTGTGGTTTCCCCACTGTCATCCCCATTATCCTTCTCACTCTTCCTTACCTTTGGAGTTCATTGAACTTGGAGAGAAATGTGAAAACTGTAACATACCCTGCCAGAACCGGACAGGAGACAGCTTCTGGTTGGCTTTTCCTTATATTTTTGGAGTCTTGGAAGCTCGTTTTAGTCAAAACCCTGGAGGATTTGTAGACTTTGCTTTGCACGTTTACTAGTGAGACATTATAGTAGTGGTGCACTATTTAACATGGTGTTTTAGAATGATTTTAAGTATACATTCAAGGACTGTCTAGTTGGAAGACAAAACAGAAAGATTTGAATAGCTGGTCAAATATTATTCTTTGGAAAAGTTCAATATCAGTAATATTGCTCATGGACCACCTTTACAATGAAAATAACATTAGTACTTAAATCTTAGGTAAAGGAAAGAGTTAAAGCTGAATTTCATTTAAAAAATAACATGGCCAGTCTGTGAAATAACTGTGATATTCGGGGCTTACATTAACATAAAAATAAGAGCTTGTTATACAGAGAAATATCAATGAAGGGAACACAAAATACATTTAATGAAATTCAGATGCAAGGCCTAGCTCCATGAATCTCATTAAATAGGCTTTGTGTTTTTTTTTCTTCGCTTTGTCTGTGAAGTAGGCATGCGGTACTTCTAATAATGTCTGAGATTTCGTAATTTTCATGGTAAAAAAACTGTGTACTGTAGAGTACTACACATAAAACATACATCATTAGGTACTGATAAAGCATAAACTGCAGCATTTTTAGAGCTAGACAAAAATGTTAAAATGTATTACAGAGGATGTTAATAATATATAGCATAAATGGTGCTTATCGAGCATACAGTTTATGCCAGTGAAATTCCAGATTAAAATATAATTAAGATTTTATTTGCATTTTCAAAAGTATAGTCTTTAGCACCACAGTTCCTTTCAACAAAGCTGTCTCTTCTCTTTCCTGGAGAACTTATTTACCATGACACTTTTTGTCTTTTCATTGTTTTGTGAACGCAAAAATCGTGTAAGCCAATATTCTTCAAACATGCTTCCTGATTAGTCTGCTACTTCAAAGCATAGTGTACATGAGCCAAATTTTGTTTAAAATTGGCTGGAATTTAGCTGCAGGTTTTGGTAGAGTAACAGCCTATGAAGAGGCTTTGTACTCCAGGTTCATTTGGTGGAAATCCATAATCCTAGAATAGGGAAGTAGACAAACAGTTTTTTTTCAGATGCTTAATTTTGAGGGAATGCAGTTCTTGTGTTCACTCTGTACATATCCCATATTGCAGAAGGTGCACCTTGTCTAATTGCTCTCTCTGTCTCTGTCTCTCCCTCTCTCTTCTGGGCAGGATTCGGCTTTGTAACTTTCGAGAATGAGGATGTCGTGGAAAAAGTCTGTGAAATCCATTTTCATGAAATCAATAATAAAATGGTAAGTCAGTTTCACCTTCAGAAATTTTCAATCTGACCAGATTAATATTTTATTTTCTTTTTAGCAGAACATTAATAAGAGCATGGAAGTTAAGAGGGTGGCACTGCGGTGGGTCTCAAGGGAGGGGGTGGTGGAGGAGGTGTCTGTGCGCCCTGCTGCATCTCCCAGTTGGGGCAGTGGGATTGAGAGGCAGTAGTGTGTGTACGCAACCCCCACCTCCACCCCCCTACTGGTCGGAAACCGTGAAATTGTGTCTGTGAGTCCCGTCTGTCTGCCAGCTGTACCTCCCTCTACAGCTCTGGCACTCAAGTAATGACTCGGTCTCTCACCTCTTCCATAAATTATTGAGCAAGGAAATGAAACTACCTGTGAAGGGTTTTGAATGGGAGCAGACCGCTGGGCCAGCATCAGTGCTTGACCTGTTTCTGAGTACTGAAAGTTCTTAGATCTTCCTAAACCAGGCTAGTCCAATGCTTCACTGCAGTAGATGTGGCTGTGTTTAGCGAAGAGATTTTGTGTTTGTTTGTTTCCTCATGCCCCGGAAAATAATAAATGGCACGCAGGAACACCAGACAGTTTCAGTAATTCATTTATTTTATTTTTCATGCAGGGTACAAAATTACAGCTGAATGCATAAGGAAAACAAATTAGTGTTGTCGGCTGGCCTGACTCAGTAACCAGCTTAGGCTAATCACAAAGGCGCTGAGCTTCTTAACAAAGTACTGGGTTCAGATTGGATAGTACACATCTTCCGTTACTATAAGACAGCTCACTTGGGTTTCCTTTAGTGCAGTCAGGCAGTGTAGCCCCTGACTGTTTTGTGCTTTGTAACCCCAAGGAATGGAAAAGCTAACTTTAAGCTTTTGAACTCAGTGCATTGTCCTCTGTATGTCTTCCATCGCTGTAGGAGCTTCTTGACCGATGGATGAAATTTCTGGAGTTAGAATAGGAATGAAGTGCTTTCTAGATTCCAGATAGATGTGTTCTTCAGTGTGTAAGCACTTTAAACCAATCAATGAAAAATTGCAGCTTTCATTTAATCAGATAAGCGCATTGAGGTGGGGAGAAGAAAAATCATTAACAGCGGTGAGCTGGGTAAGAGTCCTAGGACTGGGGATTGAGCTTGGACTCTGGGAAGATCCCAGTGAGAGAGAAGCTAATATCAAAGCCTTGCATCCCTGGAATGGACACAGTGGTAGCAGATCTTTTAAGAGAATATGATTTTATTGATTTTTATATGATATTTCATCAAATGGTTTCATTGTTCAGGGAGCACAATGTGAGTGCTTTATTTTTTTTTCTCCGTTTGCTGAGCATAGTTCTGCCTTCATTGACTGACTGGATTAAATTGGGCTATGAGGGAATTGCGTGCATCGTTAATATCAGTTGTAGTGAAAAGAGTACAGAAAGATATTTCAAGCATAGCATCCATTACTGACAATTTATCTCTCATTAATGACAACTTTGTTAAAGTTTCTCATCTCTCATTGGGAAGCCTGCTTTGATGGTGCAAATAAATGGGTGCTGGAAAAGTTTAAAAAATTGAGGTAGTAGGTAAGGACATTTTAGTGGTATCTTTCTCCACATACAAGAATATTGTATGCTTTGGATGGATTCCTGTCTCCCTCCTCTTTTCGTCTGATGTCCGACAAGATCAAAGCAATCTCTGAAGCATCATCTGCTAGGAGCTTGTGTGGATATTTGACTTGCTAATTTATGCATTTTTTAAATGCAATAATGATGTACTTCATACTTGAAAACATCTAAGCAATTGTAGGTCCCAGTTTACTGCCATTTCAGCACCAACTTCCTCTGACCCTAAACCCCCTTTTTAACTGAAAGCAACAACAACAATGTGCATCTTCACTGAACTGGATTGCGATGCTCTGGCCGACCCAGCATTAAACTAGTGCTGTCAAGATTTCAATAAGCTGTAAATTGTTACAAATCGTGCCAGATTCTGAAAGGCTAGACCACTGAGACACATGTTGCCTCATCTCAGACTTGTAGCTCTTCACTGGAATCCTCTTGCTGATCTGTGCCTTTGATTCTGACTCTGGGCACGCAGAACTCCATAAAACATTTAGCAGACTTCCCCTTGCTATAAAGAGGAAGGCTTGAACTGAACAGAACTCAAACTGCTTCGTTTTAGCCCTCTAAGCTCTGACACAGCACTGACATCTGGGTAGGAAGAGACAGAAAAAGAAACAAAGGAAAGGGGTTTGGACTTGCTTTGTTTAAAGATCGAAGGAGTTTTGGCAAAGAAATCAGAACAATTCAGAAGGATTATGAAAGTGAATTACTCCCTCTATCTTTTATTTATATGTACAACTTTTTCCTACTTTTTTACAAAGACAAGGAAATTAATCCCTATTTTGTTCTTTATTCTTTTGATGTATTCCATTTATGCCACACGTTAAACCAGTCTTACCCAAATCCGTCATTAACAGTGGCGAATATATCCATGCTGTTATAGGTTGTTATACTCACTTGTGTGAAGTACATTACTGAGCCTGTTAAACTCCAAGACTCTCTTTCTTTCAAATCAGTGGAACAGGTCCTTCATGACTGCTGGGTCTGAGCTTACAGAACCTAAATATTCAGTAAATAAGACTTACATAATAGGTAAAATGATTAATGATAATCTAAAATAAGAAAACAATTATTAGTAATGTTACTTATGAGATTTATGACATTTTAAAAATTCACTATTAGTGAAAAGAACAAAGATAACTGCAGTCTAGATCAGATGTGACTCAATTCACATTTTACATTTAATATATAAACATGAACAAAAATTAATTTAAAAAAAGCCTTTAGTGCAACTCCATAAACATTCTATGTGAATACATGTGTTAATGTTTTTATTTGAGAGTTCAGCTGTCACAGTGGGAGTCATCCATCCAACTTTTTATATGGATTCATATGAGAAATTAGTTTTTGATTTGCAAATCAGTTTTCAGGAAAGCACCCACCACATAAATCAAGACCTACTTGTTCTCATACATACAGTACAGTAGTATGTGTTTGATGTTCCAAGAGGAGCCGTTATGATATACTGTTGGATTCTAACCCATATCGTGTTCTGTTGCATGTCCTGAGAGGAGTTCCTTCTCCCTTTGACTGCTGGTTGCATGAGTTACCCATGATTTATGTCAGTGGTTCCAAATGCTGGTTCTGCTGACCCACACACCTGCTGTTTTTCATCCCTTTCCACCTCCATTAGATATTTGAAGCCTTGCTTGATCAACGAATATGTTTCAGTTGAATATTGATTTTTTTGTTTCTCATCACAAGTTTGGTATTTTATTTCACTTACAAAATACAACGGTTAAAGCTCCAATGTGCTCAAGAGCCGGGAGCAAAGAGTTTAAATTAATCGGACTACGTCAATGAGGGGTTTGATTATGTAACTGAGGGCTTGGCTGGAACAAAAACCAACAGGTATGTGGGTCAGCAGCACCAAGACTAGGAACCACTGATATAAGTGACGCTAATCCTTCCATTTTCATTCAAGTGAAGGGGAAGAAAAACGACAGCAGTGACTGGGTTTGGCATGAGTTGGCCAAGTTTGGTTGTATTGTATGAAAGTGCCATGTTGGGTGTGACAGAGTGATCTGTAGAAAAAAAAGGATCGGGCTAAATGGCTTCCCAGCACCTTATCCATCTGGCAGCAGAGTGCAGTGGTGTGTACTAAGCTAGAGTGACCCCTGGGTCTCTAGATTTCTGTGCTTCTAGCATGTCATCAATAGGAAGTCCAGCATAATCCTTTGAAGATTGAAGCGGTGCTGTGGCTTTCAGTGGGGTTTAATACGTATTGATGCGACCACAAAATCCCTGCAGTTGACTGGCTCTGTGGCACTTACTCAGTTACATCAACTAATTTTAGAACAGGCCTGCCACTCAGGATGTTATTTATAGGCGCATGGTTGACATGATGGAAGAAGTGAGCAGATCTTGAACTCTTACAAAGGCAGCTCTTCTGGGAAAACCCTCTGTGCTTCTGATGTTGTTTGTTTTTAGTCCAGAGGCCTTTGGATAACACATTAAAACCAAGGTCCTTCTCTCTTGTTCTGTTCAGTGTCCGTTTACTACGCAGTGACCCTGAAGTCAGTGTGCTCACCTTCTTAGACAAAGGGATGTTGATCTTGAAAGACTGCCATCTCCAAAGAGGCCAGGGTATTTGCTCTCACAGCCAGGAAAGAGTACCTTCTTAGCTTTTTAACATTTCTAACCTAATTTCTGCTGCTGCTCTGCAAGCTCTTTGGAATTTGAAGTAAATCAGAAATTGGAAGGTAGTTGTAAAAAGTGATTTTCTGTTGATGGTTATGTTAATTAAGTAAATTAATTTAACTCTGGTAATCTTACATATTCTCTAAATATTATTTAATTACCTTGCCTAATTATTAGCATAGCCAATAAACTCCACTTTAAGGTGCTTCTATTTACCTTCTTTATAATTGTCTCTCAAACTAATAAATACTGCCACCCAGTGGTTAGTGTCAACAAGAAACTGTGCTTTCAGACAGTTTGCAGGTAGACTTATTTTTATTTTATGGCTGCAAGCCCTGTAATAGTTAATTTGTTCAACTCATCAGCAACCTCAATTACTAACTCTTATCACTAAATCTTACTGACGGTACTTTTAATACTTCAGATTGATTTTTATGGATGCTGCCAAAGTAAAAGTCTTAGGTGTACAGCAATATGAAATAGAAATATATAAATAGATTGAAAAACAATCTTTCTGAGACACTTTATAGTGACTGCAACCATTAAAGAATTATCTGGTAAAATTAAGATGAGTGACAACAAATGTTTGGATTTGTGGTATTATCTTTGTTATGGTTAAATGTTCCACTCTTAATTTCACCGTTTTTATTTCCACCACTTTCTGCAGTTTATATAAAGTTTCCAATAAGAACATTTTAGATCAACAACAGTATGGACTGACAGTAGCTTAAAGGACACTTGTGTAGGATGATATCGGGACTCAGCAC